TTTTTGTTTTTTAAAAAATATGAACATAACACACCAGGTGGTTTGCCTACTTTTCCTCAGCAGGCACACATTCTAATAACCACAGAGCAAAGTATATGGCGGTTGCCACCTAGGTATAGTCTGTACGGCCCATGTTTGGGTCATTTGGTGGAGTACTACATGAATGGTTCTTTTATTTCTTTGAAATAGTAGTCTAACACATTCTGATAGGTAAAACAGAGTGTGAAACAGACATAAAACATTGCAATTAACATTAATACTTCAAGCAGCTTAATAGCAAAACTTTGGCTTCTGGGAATCAGACCAATTTGGAGGCTTCTTACAGATGTATCTTCTGAAGGATTAATGTTTAGCAGCTCTCTGAGGTAAAGAAATGTTGTTAACTGCAGAGTGATAGATTTATTTTTGGCTGGCCTGACATTGATTGGGATCCACTGGGAAGTGCCAACCGCATTCTAACTGCAGCACCACCCTCACAACAATGTTCAAACTAAGCTTGGGGGAATTTTGAAGGTAGATTTTGTGAGACTAAGTTTAAAGACCTGCAGTTAAAACAAAGCAATCCAGTGTGCACACACCAGCTTACTGCACTCTCTTCTGTTCCAGGTCTGGATGCACAAAGACTAAATATGCAAAAAAAAAAGTATTATTGGGCTGATAAGGATTCAGAAAAGTAACTTTTACTTTCATTATTTCAATGTTCCACAATCAGTTTCTACTAGGGTTCTACTGATGGTATGGGCCCAAATTTAATAGGGCACATGTACACTGAGAAAAAAAAGAAATCTGGAGCCAAAGACTTAGTCTAGAGTCCTGTACCTATACCTTCCCATTTCATCCTCATTAGCCCCTGTGCCTAGAAAGCAATACAGGAGCAATAGAGGAAAAATCAGTTTTTCAAGGACATAGTGATTACTTTCTATATAAACCAACATTAATCCAAAGTAGCCTAAATGAGTAAACATGACTCCACGTGGACTGCAATAGCTGAAAACATTACAATAATTAGTGTTTTCATGGTACTTGTGTCAAGTATTAGAATATATAGGTCTAGATCTATACTTGGCAATACATAAAAGCAAACCCAGAGAAATAAATGAAAATTAGATTTGGTTGTCGTAGGTTTTTCAGGCTGTCTGGCTGTGTTCCGTATGTTTTTCTTTCTAATGTTTCACCAGTCTCTGTGGCTAGCATCTTCAGATCCCACACTACACCAGAACACAGAGAGAGTTCTAATTCCTCTCCTCTGAAGATGCCGGCCACAGAGACTGGGGAAACGTTAGGAAGAAAAACCTTCAGAAAATGGCCAAACAGCCCGAAAAACCTACAACAACCATTGGATCCTGGCCGTGAAAGCCTTCGAGAATACAAAAATTAGATTTGTCCTGACTACCTTATGTCATCATTGATTTCAAATGCAAAATAAGGCAGCACTTTAAAGACTACCAGTTTTCTTTCAGTGTGAGCTTTTGTAGATCGAAGTCTGCTTCGTCAGATACTTCCTCAGAGGTTTTTTGTCAACATGTTGAAACAGACTAATATGGCTACTTCTTTGGAAACTGATTTCAATGAATTCACCCTCAGTGTGACTAATTCTGGCTCAACCTCGCAGGAAATAACATTAGTAGCAAATTCACAAAACAATTTACTACAGAGATTCTCCAATTCCATGGAACATTTGCATAGCAATATATGCCAGGAGTGTGTGTCAGTATTCTTGAGATTGTCTAAACATCTGGGATACCCACGTGGTAAGTTGTTTTCAAACACTGCAGACTGCATATCAGTATAACAACAAAATGGGCTTTTCAATGGTTTGAATGTGTGTGCACAATTGAACTGGCTAGATAAACTTACAACATTTTGGGCTTCATTGGAAAATAAATGATTATGTGAAAATATCACATAAATAGGTGGGTTCAAATATGGTACGAGCCCTAACAAAAGAAATGATGAAATAAATTATAATTTCAGATGGGCATGAATTAAAACATGAATCACCAAATTCCTTTAAAAAATCACTAATTCTTTGACTCAGATTTGTATGAATCAATGCCCCTGACAAATCACAAATCAATTCATTTTTAGAGATTTTTGATTTATTCATTCATTTGGCTTTAAAACACACACCCCTGGCACCCAGAGACACCAAAACTGCAGGGAAGCATCCTCTGGCTCTCCTCTACAGTCCCTCCATGTTTAGTGAAGATTGGATTTCAGATGTCTGAGTTATACACCCACAAAATGTCTCCCCCAGGAAGGGCTTGTAGAGGAGAGTCAGCGGAAGCTTCCTGAGAATTTGATGTCTCTGGGTGCTAGAGGAGTGCATTTGATAGGGTTTTAAAGTAAAAAATAAATTGATGAATCGATTCATTGATCTATCAGAAAAACTTAATAAATTTGTGATTCATGATTTGTCAGGCTTGATGAATCACAAATCAAAATCAATCACCATTTTTCTGATCGTGCCCATCTCTAATTATAATGCTTAGTCTAATTTTAATATAGCCAATGGTTGTAGAAGTGTTGCTGTTTAGCTTTAGCAAACTATGCCTCCTCTAGTCCTCCAACATTAGACGTTCTGGGGCAACAAGGAAAAGATGGTCCTGATAAAGTAATTCTGAGTTGTAAAGGAATCTCCAGAATCATAGTTGCTTTTCCATGAACTATCTATCCCCCTGTATTGTATGCCACCCAAAAATAAGAGTCAGCTGCCAGAAATAATTCAAGCATTAAAACCAAAATCCAACACTACTAGCTAAGAAAACCTGAGCCTAATATGATAAAAGGATTTGATTGTGCTTAATTTTATTTTGGGTTGTGCAAGGTAAACCACAAGGCAGTGAAGAATGATAAATAAATTGTAATCTAGATGATGGGTGAATTCAAGCTATTGGATTCCCACAGAGGATGTTTAAATCAGGATACACTTCTGAGTGGTGATGGGGAGGATATTATAAATATTGTGCGAAGCACCACTGAATGAATAGCAGCCTTTGTATTTGGGATGGACCTCTATTGATGGTATCACTGAATGGGTGCTGGTATACCAAATTTAGTAGCAAATCCCACACTCAGAAAAGAGACATCTAATTTTTTAAACAATCATGACATAAATAATGTGGTACTCTGCACATTTATTTGAAGACTGGCCATTTTTACCAAAAGCTAATATCTCTGTATTTGATGCTTTTGCAGAGCTACTAAACTATTCAACATACAGGAGGGTGTTACTGCACTCAGATCTTGCTTATGGGCTTTCCACAGACAACAGATTTTTCACTATGGAAACATACTGCTGGATTATAGAGGACTTTGTTTTTATCCAACAGGCTCCTCTTTTGTCCTTACATTTGTCTGCTTTGAGTTCATTGCGTTATCAAATTTGAAGTGTGCTGGTGTTTAACTGAGGCTGTTAAGCAGCAGCTAACAGGTAGAGACTTTTGCTTTGAGGATATGGAATTGGGAGTGCCAGTGTTCTTTTCTATTTCTACATCTCCATAGATGGGGGCCCGAGAGGCTCTTCACACTACTCATGTGGGACATTTCTGCAACAACTGCAAAGGGATTATTGTCCAATGACAACCCAGAGCTCTAATATTTATAGGAGTCTATGGGTTTGAAGACATTGTATGATTATTATGAGCTTAAGAGTTTGAATAATAAACTTTGAGCTCCTAAACATTTGAATCTGGGAAGATTGTATTGAAATCAGTGACAGCAGTCTGAACTAAAACTTGTGTTGCAGACAAGGAAGCTTGCAAGAGAACAGGACCAGTTATGTCTTTAGACTGATAAATGTATCCATTCTCACACCCTGTTTTACACCCCAAAATAAGGAATATGTTGTTATAATATGGTATTGGGAAAGTAAAGCCAATTTTTAAGATAAAGAGATGAAGGTAGATGTTTAATAATTCTTTTTTACAGATTTATCCCTTTATGAAATGTATTTTCTCTCCTTGGTTCAGGTCTGTGGTTTTTAATCCCAATTTGAAAGAACCACAGATTTCATTAAATGCTTCTTCATATGGACTTCAGTGGGATCACAGGACATGACCAACACGAAGAAGCTTATTCCGTATTGCTGATCTTTCCCTGTCATATGCAGCCAATGTCATATGCAGCCAACGTCCACATAGGACAGGGATGCGCACTTTTGTCATTCCCAAGGGCCACATATAACACTGCCTTGGTGGCTGGACATGTATGCTGCTACAAGTATGGGCACACATACATACATCCCAACAATCTTCCTTCCACTAGGAAGGATTACGGAGACTTTTGCTCACTTCTTCTTCCAGATCCTGATATGGATAACTCTTCCCTCCCTGATAGCAGCAGCATGGAATGTGTAAGTTGTATGAAATCAGTAGATCACTGGGGGCTGGGAGGGATTTTAACTGTGATGGGAAGGTCAGGACACCCCAGAAAGTAACACAAGACCAGGAAGTGCCACAAGCTTTACACCTCTGACATAGGGCAGTCCAACAGGCTATGCTTGCACTCTATTAACTGTGTACTCTTAAACATGGCTTATAAACTCTGCAGCATACAAACTGGTAAGGGAAGAATTCCTCAAGGGTAGAAGGCTGAAAGCCACTAGGATAGAGTAACAGAAATAGCGTTTTTGTGCATTACATTTTGGGGACATAAATTCAGTTGTTCTTGTTGCTTTACACCATTCTTACCTAAAGGGTTTACATGTAAGCTGTGTGAAAGAGATGGAAACCCAACGTTTCCCACTCTGTGTGCATATTTGGCAGCGTTAGGTCTACACATGAGAAGCTGGCTGCATAAGAACTGTTGCAACAACCATATAAATCAGTTTCCTTTTGAAATACAGAAAGCCATAACATCATTTCATCGGATCTTCCTCAAAAATAAACCCACATGCACATCACACATTTACAATGGTTTATAATTACAAAAAAAAGAAAAAGAAAAAAAAGACAAAGAGTTGTACAAACACTGAAAAGAAAAAAAGAAACAATGAGCATAACAATACTGATTCAAAACTGAAATGGAAGACAGTTTCTCCCTAGAACACTTTAGGGTTTTTCAGAGTCCTTATTCCATAAAAGGAATATACTTGAAACACATCCCATTTTGGTGAGATGAGACTGCTGAAGTACTTACTTAAAACAATGAAGAAAAAAGAATTACTTTTTAAAAAATCTTTCATATCCTAAGTAGTTCATGTCTATTGCATAACAGCAAGAAACTTGCTTTCTTCTGCAAGTGAGGTCAACAAAGAATTCATGTCCCCAATAGCCATGTTGGTTGTGCTTATGGGCATACCTGGAAATGTAAGAGACACTCGGGGAGTGGTGAGACGAGAGGAATTATGGGAGAGATTCTGAATGATGCTGGGACTTAGGGCTTCTGAAATTAAGCTGGCATGGTCACCATCATCTATGATGGCATCAAAATCAATCTGCACATCTTCAAGACTATTGGTGTCAATGCTGTCAACTGTACTTGTCACCTGGTTGGCCCCTGGGGAGAGAAGCTGTGATGAATTTGCATCACCAGTCCCCTGCAGCAAGCAGTTAGCTTCTGAAAGGGGGAAAGTACCTATTTTGAGAGCTTGCTGGCTGAACCCTGTGGTATGGTCATATAACTGACCAGAGTAATTCTGCATGTTAGAGCAGAACTGTTGTGATTGATTCTGAGATTCTACCTTGATGCCATTAATCCTGTGTGGCTCGTTGACATCCCTTACATGTCCTTGTTGCACCAAATTATTCCTTAATGTGTTCTGTAATCTGCCACTACAGTAGTTGGCACAGGACTGGTAACCTTTGGACAGCATCAAACCTGATGGCTGGATTCCAACATTTTCAGATAGTGGCAAACAATTTTGTGGCCCTTGATAAAGGCTGCACTGTGAGGGAGCTGCAACGTCTTCTATCATAGTTTTACCCGAATGATTTGCTTCTTGGCAATGACTAACTTCATTGACTGACTGATTAAGAAAGTACTGTTGGAGAGCCATGTTTCTGCTCTGCATCCTGCTCATTACAATGGCAGACTGCTCACTGGATGCCACAGGGTAGCCAAGATTTTGCTGACTCTCACTGCCTAACATGAAATTGTTTCTCAGCTTTTGACCTTGAATCATTATGTTACAGGTTTGGTCAACTGGTTGTCCACCATTATTTTCCCCATATAACTGTGCCTTATTTGACTGCACAGGGTAAGAATGATTTATGTCACTGTTGTTTACAATCATGTTCTGCTGCACACTGCAAGAGCCACTCCCGTCCAAAAGATGCTGGTAGCCATTTTGATGAGGCACAATGTTTTTCTCTAGTCCATGGTTCTGCTGTTGGACCACCATGTTGTTGTACTGGCCTAGGCTTTGATTCTGCTGGTTTAGGGACCGTTGCCCACATTTTAGTTTTGATGGAGACAAGTCAGAACTTCCTGAGCTTACTTCATTCCACTGAATTGGCAGGTCATTTTTACTGGCCTCAGAGCTGTTTGTTGGAGGGGACTGCTCAAAGCTGTTATTGTTCCCTGTTCCTGAACTGTGAATACCTTTGCTGTTGTCTGCCCCACCAGTTGGCAGTTGGTTGTACGCACCCTGATTCTGAGAATTCAAATACTGAACCACATCATCTGGTAGGAGATCCTCATCATTCAGACTGTCATCTGCTTCTACAATAGCGGACTCCACTGCCACATTCTCAGATATACTTGGAGGACAAGGAGAACAAAAGTTACGGAACAAACCACCATCAGAGCGAGTGTAATTCTGAAGGATGAAATGACGCTTTTCCGTGGATGATGGCACAGCAGGAGTGTTAAAGCTATTGAGACTGTTGAAACGCTGTACTCTGGGAAAAGAAAAGCTGTCAGAGACTGGTCTCACAGGATCGCTGGCTCTCCTTGTGCTATTCCCTAACCCATCATGAGGCAGTATGTGTCTCCTGTTGTAACCATTTGTCCCACCGTCGCTACATCTTCGAGGAGAATTAACTGGGGGCAAGGGTGATATCCCACTCTCTCTGCACTCACCTAAGAGTGCCATTCTTGTTTTCAAGCTCATCCTCTCCATATTAGGGAGTGGTGTTGGTGGGGGTCCACCTATAGCTGCTGCATATTTTGCTTTCAGCCTGTAGTGTTGGACAGGGGTGAGGCTGAGAAGTCCTGGTAAGCCATCACACTGGCTGACTTCACTGGACCGCCTAGAGGCATCAGTTGAAATAGGATCATATGAATCAGCCACACTGAGGTTCTGGAGCCTTCCCTCACCCTGGGATGCATCACTGGATCTTCGACTAGAGAAGCAAGGTGAAATCCCAGAGGATCTTCGACTGCTCATGTAAGCTGAGCTGATTGTACTGGTATTGCTATCCCTTCTGTTCAGCATATTGAGCACAGTGATGTCCATATTTGATAGTTCATTTTTGTGAGTTAGGATGGTCACATTTCCTCCTACACTGCAGTTGCTGTTTGACTGAACACCTGAAAAAAATATTCAAATAAAAAGAAAGCATGTATACCAAATTAAGTGATGATCAAGAGAAATCTAAAATACTGTGCAAAATGTTACAAGACTTTCAAGAAAATGCTTCTGTACTATCAGAAAGGGCTAACTAACTAATGAACTAACTATAATGAAGTGGTTGTCTCCAAATGCAAAGTTTCAAGAATTGTATTCCAAAATGAAAGCCAGCGTACTGGTCAGGATCTAGATACTGTTCAGAGGAAAGGAAAGCCAAAATCATAATAAAAGCAATTATGGAAATTATCTTGAATAGTTTAAAAAGTCTTAAATAGAAGTTGCAAGGCATTTAAAACAGTTCTATTGGCTGGGCTTCTGAAAATAACAATTTGGTTTTTTAGCTGTATTCAGTTCCTTTTATTAGCAGAAACCCAAATCCAAACTCATACAAGAAATACCACTGATATTTGCATGGATGATTGCTGCTTAATATGTTAAGGCAACTGAATCAGAAGGGAAAATATTTAGGTGAATTTAAAATCCTAAAGTTACAAGATGGTGGTAAGACCTCCAGAGTTCAGTGTCCTTTTGTATGCTTTTAAAAATATTTGTCGTTCAGGCATACACGTTTTGAACCAAACACCAAAGGTTTATCATACCCACCTTATCCATCTTTGTATCTAACCCAACAATTTGCTATATACAGGGGACTAAGGAAAGTACCTGGCCAAAGAACTTTCCATTGATAAACCTCATTATTTTTACATGATGCAATTTTATATGAATCTACTCTCCACTAAGTTCTACAAGGTCCATTCCCAGGGGAACATGTATTATATATGGTAGTCATTGTTCATTACTTTGTGGATCGATCAATTAACTTTACATACAAGAAAACAAACTTTGTTTTCATATGATGTGCCATAACAGGCATCATCACAGAGGACTTATTTTACCCTATTAGAGAGCAAATGAGATATGCCCCTTTAGAGTACTTGTCAGTAGAGATGTGAGCTTTGTATTCGTATCCCTGTGGATACAAATACAAAGTGTCCACTCCCTCCCCCCAGAACCAGCCTGGTCCACTCCTCAGGCTCTGCGCAGTGTGTCGGCCTGTCAGCAGTGGCATTGCACCAACTGAGGAAGTAGCCCCACTGGCTCTCCCCCACCTCTTTGCACAGCTGACCACTCAGGTGAGGAGGCAGGATGATTCAGCGCCTAGCTGTGCGAGAAGGTATATGCACTATAGGTAGCACTATATGTAGTTTCTTTAAAATCTTCATTTTGATTAATCAGAGAACAGTTTTAGTCATTATATAATTTTTTCAATGAATTAATCCAGCTCATTGCTTAAATGTTGCACTATTGTAGCAAGGACCATACTTTATATGTGAGAACATTCAAACTAGTGTTCTGCATCTGCAAGTCTGACATGGTGCAATTCAGACAGAGTTGCACCATATGTCTACATTGGTAAGTTCTAACTTTGTATTATTTGATAAATTAGACCAGGCAAAAATGCCCAATAAAAACATTGAAACACAAAGTGCCCACTTCTGGTTTTCAGGGGGAATCTGTAGAAGACAGTAAAAAACAGTGGGGGCTTTGGGGTGGGGTGGGGTGGCCAGACTAAACCATTTTAAAAAATCACAAAACTATTGGACTATTTTGAACTAGGGAGGGAGGTTTCTGGGATGTCCCTAGGGATGCAAAAGTACTCCTGGGGTACCTCGGTTCAATGCACAGCACTTTGCTGTGTCCCATCTTTGATTAATAGCTTGAGAATATTCCATAATTTGATCCACAGTTCGGAGGAATTGGGGGAACCAGTCTATCTAATTATACTACTGTTTGTTAATGGCCATGGACACAGAAACAGAAAACATTAAGTAAACATATCTCACCATTTCCTATGAGAGGTGGAAGGGCAGGGATTTTGGAAGGTGGCATGGGATTCAGTCTCGGAAGTACTCCATTGACTTGTTTCAACCTTTCTAGCTTGACTTGCTCCATCCATTTGGTCTCTGTCATGTTCCTCCTCGCCTGTAAGCCAAGTGCTGTGGTTGCTGTGGAAATGGTAGAGTCCATGATAGGGGTTTCATCTATGACACTGAGGTCTCCTACACTACCTCTACTGGTCAGATTAAGCTCGATCCCATTGTTGGAATAGTTGCTGATGGGGGACTGTTCGCTGCTGCATGTAGACTGACCACCAGGGCTTGGCTGAGATGTCTGTTTGGAGGAAAGAAAAATGGAAAGATCTTATTAGAAGCAGAATAAATCCTGAATCCATTATATTTAGAGAAAGCAGGAATCAAATAAGATTCCCTGCAATGTGGTTGAAAAATAAATACAATTTATGGTTAATAAATAGAGACTTCATGGTCTGTCTAGCAACCCCCACTCCAAGAAACAAATATCCCCTTCATGACAGTGAATGGGCCCATCCATGCATTTTTAGTTTTAGACAAGGTAGCCATGTTAGTCTATGTTAGCATATCAGACCAAAAAGGAAAGAAAAATAATAAAAAGACAAAAACATTGTGGCACCTTAAAGACTTCCTTTATTTAAACAAATAGCCCCAAATGGCTATTTCTAGGTCTCATGCCGTCTATGTTGAGGCATTTAGGCAAAAAGGTTGCCCATCATTATAAAGTCCAATATAGTGGCACTAAGAGAGGCAAGTGAAGGATAATAGAAAGGAATAAGGCAATTACTGATACTCAGTGTGATTCAGGAGACCTGGGTTCAACTTCTCACTCAGCTATGGAAACTCACAGAAGAGGGTGGAACTAGTAACACTACTCTTTAAACACCTCATTTACCTTGAAAGCCCTATTATGGTCACTGTAAATCAACACACAACATACAATTACACATCATAGGAATAAATACTCTTATCTTAACCAAATCACTTGTAATTGCTGAGATAGAAAACTGATATGAGCTACTCTGAAAAAGAATGGATGTATGAAGGACTAACATTTCTCACCACTCTCAATGACACACTGAAAACCTCTTTCATCATATGGCACAGATATGCAGTGCTCAAAACAAATATCCTACCACGGGTGTTCAAAACCTTGATAAAGGCAAACATAGCTTTATAACCTTGACCAGTATGCTCATCTATGATAAAATGGCAACAATATATGGACTTTGCAGCTTCAATGGAATAGCATCAGTTCTACTTTGCAAGCTTAATGGAACACTATATGTTATGCAACAAATATATTCAGGGGAGTCTCTTTCACATGCCAGGGTTGCATCCTAAAACACTCAACCAGCAATCTAAAATAGACAGTGAGATTATTAGCTCTAAATATTGTGGATCACTATGTAATATAGATGGAATAAAACAGTGCTACTAGTAAACAATTATTTATAACTAAAAGCAGTGAACATTCCACTCAGCAAGGAAGCTAAACGTAAAATGTTTTTATCACTCTGTGATGGTTACAGGCTTCCTCTCCACTGTGTCTCAGAATGGAACCACCTTTTTCTGTACTCCAGGATCATTTTGCCCTTGTGATACTGACCTGTCATAGCTAAGCCTACCAAGGACAGGTTCAGATATATGTTTCATGAGATTTATTTTATAGCAATGATATTCAGACTATTTTAAAAGCATCATTTTCCCATATAATTAACAGCCTCGCCTACAGGAGAGAAAAAAATAGAGCAGAGGTATAGAAGATGATCCTAGACATCCACTTGATTTACTAAGACTAGTAAGCTCTGTGTAATCTGCATTGAAAATAAAAGCAAAGGGATGCAGTATCCTGCAACCTGTATAACTGTGTAAATTAAACTCATTTGCATAATTTCTCTTTTTTTGCATAACAGAGTCTGAAATTGTAACTGTTTCAAACAGCTTATTCTGTTTTGTTTGGTTTTGTTTTTTTGTTTTGCTGGTAATATGGTGCTGGAGAAGAGCTTTGCAGGTACTGTGGGCTGCCAGAAAGACGAACAAGTGGGTCCTTGTTGAGAAAGGTAGAATGCAGCAGGCAAAGAGGAAGACCAAACAGGATATGGATTGGAAGCCACAGCCTTGGGTTTCCGATTGCTGAGCAGAGCTGTTTGAGGACAGGGCATTTTGGAGATCACTCATTCATAGTTGCCACACGTCAGAGGCAACTTGATGGCACAGAACAACAGGAGGATCAAGAAATTACAATGAATATTGAAGCTATGCCCCTAGTCATGGTAATTTAATTTAGCTATCCTGTGAGCTTTACAATCTTAGCAGACATTGGCCATGGTTGAAAAGTACAGTGGAAAATTCCTGGAAAGTATTGTTTCATAAAATGAAACACTGATAAAAGTAATGGAAATAATATTGACAAATAGGCCATTTTCAAAGTTATAATTAACTGTTCCTAGACAACTATAATCTTTTTCTCATGCTCTTTTCACAGATTCCAACAATGTAAATGAATAACCTCTGTGCAGTGTTGAAGTGGATGAAAACTCTGAACTTTGTGTGTTCATCAAGTGAGAATAGGCTGTTCTAAGGTAAAGTCTATTTGTACCTGTGAACAGGAAACTTGGTGTAACTGGGGTTTCCAGTTCTGAGTGGTTTTTCCTGCAAGTAGAGCCAATCCTCACATTCTGGTGAATATGGTTCCAGCCTTACTCATCCTGAAAGCAAAGTTCCCTCTAAGCCTTTTTTTTTGGCAAGAGGGTTAGAGGTACTGGAAACTGTTGAGTTACTTATGCAGCATGTAAAGTTAACATGGTGCAATTTAAGAATTAAAATTTAAAATTAAATTTAAATAGAATTAATTTTGTTTGCTAACAGCAGTCAAATAATTGACAGCAGTCAAATAACAGCAGTCATTCTGCAGTGGCAATTCTATACCCATATACCTAGTCCTAGGGCTTAAGCCCCATTGAACTCCATAAGACATACTTCTAAGTACAGTAAATGCAAATGGCTGTACTGCTAATAAGATCCCAAAGGATTTTTCATACAAGAAAATTTTCAAAAAATAAAAATAAGTATAAAAATCAAAATTAAAAAAATATCTACATTTTTCTAGGAAAGCCACGTCACTAGCATCCTTGCAACTGCAAAGCTCATTCATATTGTTATTCAAAATAAAACCTGCATTCTGCACCTAGTGCCAAATGTGATGTAACTTCTGTTCTTTAGCAGAACTTGAATATATATACAGTGATAAAGACATGCAATATAATTTTGCTCTCAGCGATAGCTTCCTCAATAGTCTCCAATGACTTAGGTTAGGATTTTGCCTGTTAGCCTTTGAGATAAATGTACACTTGATGGGGGCTAGCTAACTTTTTAAAAAATGAGAGCTCTAGAACTGTGAAGATCAGAACAAATATGTTTATGAACAGACTACTCATTAATTGGGGACAAACATGCATGTGCTTTCAGGACACATGGCAACAACCAAAAAGACACAGTGCTGAGTTATGGGCATTCCATTGAGAAACTTAGCAGCAATATTTAAAATCAAGCTGTTCAGTGTGAAACGTTGTTGGGGCAGCTAGAGCTTCATGCTCCCTGAACAAAAGCTAAAATAAAATAGAATACGTTCAGGTGCTCTGACTTGATAAATTGCCCACAGGAGTTACAAAACAGAGAACAATCACAGATGTATATGTGAATGCATCCATTTCTATATGAAATTGACTTTGATTTACTTGTAGCACATGCCATTTATTATAAAGTGCCCATTTTATAACAGTTATGAATGTATTTGATGGAATGGTCCAAAACAGCAAGCAAATGGTTTTTAAATAGCAATGAAGAAACTGAGAAGTGAAAATCCTCTCACCTTATTACCCACTGTCCTTAGGAAGTTAGAATAAGTCATTAAAGAGCATTAGATATAAGAAACATTGGATTAGTACATAAATAAAGATGAAATGTTAAGTCATACAGTGCAAAGAGAAACACACAATTAAATGATCCTATATCAACAGTTTTAGCATCTATTAAGGTTTCATAATAATTTCTTTTTTTAACATGATTCCCAATTTATTTCTCTTTGTAATCTCTCTTCTAAAAAAGTAATTCAGATCAACTACCGTATTTTTTGCTTCCCAGGCCTCAAAAGACTCCCAGAAGCTGGCGATTTCACCCCCCCTGGCCCCGTGGGGGTGGTGAGTGGTGGGTGCATCGAAAAGGGTCCGAGTGAGCCTTCCAGGACCCTTGCGACACTCCCCCACCCCTGCACCAGGCCAGTGTGGGCAAAATTGCCAGCTTCTGGGACTCTTTTGAAGCTTGGGAAGCTTCAGAAGACTCCCAGAAGCTGGCGATTTCACCCCCCTGGCCTTGTGGGGGTGGGGTGGGGGGAGCTTCACAAGGGTGGCGATTTTGCCCCCTCTGACCCCTGGGAAGGGCAAGGTGAGTCTCTAAAGGGACCTGGAACACACCCTAGGACCCTTTGGAGGCTCACCCTGCCCCCCCTGTGCCAGGGGGCGAAATCGCCACCTTCTGGGACTCTTTTGAGGCTTGGGAAGCTTCAGAAGAGTCCCAGAAGGAGTCTTTTGAGGCTTGGGAAGCTTCAGAAGACTCCCAGAAGGTGGCGATTTTGCCCCCCCTGACCCCGGAGGGGGGGCAGGGTGAGCATCCAAAGGGTCCTAGGGTGTGTTCCAGAAGATGGACTTCTCCATAAGGTTCACCAATTTTTAGAAGAAAACAGATTTTTTCCTGTTTTCTTCTCCTAAAAATTTGGCACGTCTTATGGAGAGGTGCATCTTATGGAGCGAAAAATACGGTATACCCCCAAAGACTTAACCCCTACTGGAAAATATTTTATAACACATATGTAAAAGAGAACAATTTTTAAATTCAGTCTATCAGGACATTCCTGATTCTGTTACCAGGAATTCAAGCATGAAGCTCCCCAGTATGGCACGGATGTATATATTGCTCTGCAGCTGCTAATCTGAAGCCATAAGTAGGGCACGTGGGCAGCCCAGAGTCTGAAAATGGGGTGCCTCATTCCACACTGGCAGATGAGGTGGTGCCAATATATATATATCATGTCTATTTCATGCCATATGATGCTATATCATAAGTCATATATTAACAATAAATTGACTAAAATATAAAATATATAAAATATTTAGAGATGATTAACTAATTTGAAACCAGCTTTCCAATAACTAAGAATGCAAAGCAAAGCTGTTGCTGTGCAATTCCTTTTGAAAGCAAGAGAACTGTGCAGCAGTGCAGGAATCCCTGTCCCGCCTCCTCATCTGAGTGGGCAGCTGCTGGAGGAGGTTGAGAAGGGAAGTCCATAGTCCTGTCATGACGGGAAGATCATGTGACAGGGAGGGAATGAGCAGCGTGTGCTGGCTGGTGAGTGGGGGAGGTGGCAGGGGGTGGGGGTAGGGAATGTGTGGAACCTGTGGTGCCATGCCAATGACTTAAGATGACCCAGCATGAAGTGCTTCTTGCCCATCTCCAATTTTGTAACTGTTTATTCTGAAGAAGAAACAAATCCTGAAAATCTAGGGCTTTAGGACTTCAGTTTTAGGAACCATCATATAGAGGAAGAATTTTAAAAGACACAAAATGTTGCATACCATTGGCTTCTCTGACTTGACAGCTTTGACCTGGAGGCATTCTTCACGCTTTGAGGTAGTATTGCTGAGGTCTTTTTGCTCACCAATCGCACCCTGAGTCTGATGGCCTGGGGACCTGGTTTGAGAATGGCTGCCTTGGTCTCTTGATGGGGGATGCCTTGGATGGATATCTCCACGCTGCTTCTTAGTGACATGTGCCTCAGGTCCATGCACAGTTTTCACATGCTTTCGGAGAGAACTAGGGTCTGTGTAACGCTTTGTGCAGCCTGGTATTTTGCAAACGTAAGGTTTCTGTAAGCAAAAAGAAATGTTAACATTAGATAGCCAGCAATGATATAAAGAGGTTACTTACCTGTAACCATAGTTCTTTGAGTGGTCCTCTGTGAATTCACACATATGGGTATTGCCTGTGCCCGCGCTGACTCTCTCGGTAGATTCTAGAGCTAAAAGTAACAATTTTATGGTGTGATCCTCCAC